AGGATTACAGTGAAACTGACCATTCAGAACAGACAGGCCCAGATTGAAGTGGTGCCTTCTGCCTCTGCCCTGATCACCAAAGCCCTAAAGGGACCACCCAGAGACAGAAAGAAGCAGAAAAATATTAAGCACAGTGGAAATATCACTTTTGATGAGATTGTTGGCATTGCCCAGCACAGCGGTCTTTAGCCAGAGAACTCTCTGGAACTATTAAAGAGATCCTGGGAACTGCCCAATCTGTGGGCTGCAATGTTGATGGCTGTCACCCTCATGACATCATAGACGACATCAACAGTGGTGCTGTGGAATGCCCAGCTAGCTAAGGAACTACAGATGAAAATATTTCAATAAAGGATCATTTGTTAACCAAAAAAACCCAAAAAACCAACAACATAGAAATAATACATAGCATCTTCTCAGACCACAAATGTTAAAAAAAATTAATAACAAGAGGATAAAGGAGAAAAAACACACATTGGAAGCTGACCAACACGTTGCTTGAACATGAGTGGATATTAGGAGAAATAACAAATGAAATAAAAAAGTTTCTTGAAAGAAATGACAATGAAAACTCCACTTAACCAAAATCTATGGGAAACAGTCACAGCAGTAATCAGAGGTCAATTCATAGCAATAAACAAACACATCAAAAGGCAGGAAAAAATGACCACTGACTCTCTAACCCAACATCTCCAACAAATTGAAAAGGAGCAGCAAGAAAACTAGACACCTTCTGAAAAAATTGAAATTATAAAAATTAGAGCAGAAATAAATAGAAAACAGAAAAACAATTGAAACCATCAACAAAGCTAGAAGTTGGTTCTTCAAAATGGTCAATAAAATAGACAAACCACTATCAAAACTAACAAAGGAAAAGACACAAATAATCCAAAGAGATGAAACAGGCAACATCACATCAGAACCAACTAAAATAAGAAGGCTAATGTTGAAATATTAGGAAAAACTATTCTCAAACAAATATGAAAATCTAGAGGAAATGGGCTAATTCTTAGAAACTCACAATCTATCTAAACTGCGCAAACCAAAACTGAACACCTGAACAGACCCCTTACAAAAGAAGAAACTGGATTCCCTTTTTACCTTGTTGGAGAAGTTTTTGGATGTGCATAGGGATTTGATTCTTAGAAGGTCCCATTCATCTATTTTATTCTCTCCTGGTTGTAGGTTTTTCAAGATGCTTGGAAGACTGTTGATGTTGTAGATTAGGACATCTAGAGTTCTTCCAAGCTTTTCTTTATTGAAGCTTATAGTTCTTGGTTTTAGTCTTAGGTCCATGAACCACCTTGAGTTGGTTTTTGTGCACCGAGTGAGGTGTGGATCTTGCTTGAGTTTTCTACAGATAATTTTCCAATTGTGCCAACACCATTTGTTAAAAAGGCTCTCATTTCCCCACTTACCTAATTTCATCTCCTTGTTAAAAATCAGTTTACCATAGATAGATGGGCTGATTTCTAGGTTCTCAATTCTATTCCATTGATCTATGTGTCTGTCATTTTA